GACGTGCTTGGACCACGAGTCCACCCCTCTCACAATACAATACAATAAAAATTGAAACTCACATCGGGTGAAAATAAAAATAAAAACTTTTTTGACAATTTCTAAAACCCCACGCCCCGTTCCCTTGACCCAATCTCGCTGGTTCGTGAACTCGTTCAAGTAATATAAATATTTATAAATTTTAACGAATCTGAATCTGAATTTTTTTGCTCTGGGTACATCAAAATGTCTCACAACAATTGTTTGTTTGCATATTTATTATTTCATAAGGTAATTTATATTGTAAAACGCTAAAGCTTTCCTTTGGAGAAATCTTCAATTTTTCTGCACTTGACCATCACAATATAATTTATATAAATACTAACGGACATTTGGAGAAAATTGACTCGTGGTCAGCCTCTCACGAGTAGATCTTCTAAATCTCATGACCTATATATTTTTCTTTCGCCTCACTTCACAGTAAGGAGCAGGTTTGTGTACTGGTTGTAGACCAGAAAGTTGTTGTTTACAGAAATAGATCGGTGTCTAATTTTACCAAACACTCTTACGTGGTACTTTTTAAATGAGATGCGAGTTTCTTCAGTAGCAAATGAACTATTTTAGTCATACATGTTTGGGTAGCTGCATTACACATAATATTGGAAAGTCTTAAAAACGGTACTATTGAAAAACTGAAAATGTTGTCTAAATGTTGTTTATTTTTTTAAATCTGTTAAGGTGTGCAGAAAATTATCGTTCAAGACTCGCTCGGAAAATTGTTTAAACCACGCTAGGTAACTATTATGTTCATGATCACGTCCTTGTGATCTACTATACTATAGTGGGTCAACCATTGGCCCGGGTGGGAATGGGTTGTTGAGGTCGAGTACAAGGAGTGTCGTTACATGATTTAAAATATTTAAATAGTTTCTTTAATATTTACTGCTTAAATAATGTAATGATTGAAAGAGGCAGGTTTGTTTGATTGTATTAAATACATTATGATGAGATAATGGCGTTAGACTTAGCTCATGCAATATTCATCCTTTTAGAAGTTTCCGGCTGGCCGAAATTGAGGAATATAAGGATAATTTGACTTTTTTTTTATTTGAAGAAAATCTAAGATTATACAGTTTGTTGTGCATTTACAGCAGTATGCATCTGATGTACATGGAAGCAAATTTAAGCTGTTCAACAAAATTACTGTACTGTCATCTGAATGTAAAAAAAACAATTACTTTGTAATTATTTTTATGCTTAAAATTAAACTGTTGGCCTACTTGACGATTAAAAATACCGGTTTTTATCTAAAATGAAGATACTCTAGGATGTACGTTCCGGAATGAAAATATAGTCCTAAGGTTGATGTTAATGTTATTTCTATACACCTAATCTAGGTTAGTTGACTAGGTTTATTTATTTTGATTGCATCAATATTGTATACGTTACTGCATAAAACGGTCTGTAATTTTACTAGAAAATACTTAATTAACATATTTAATTTGCCAATTATTTTCCAAGTAAAATACAATTTAATTCTTCTACTAAACACACTTAAATGGGTAATTTGTATAGTTTACCGGTAAAAAAGATGTAGGCCTATCCATTACGTATAGAGTTAATTGGACTCACACATAGGAACAAAGTTATTTCGAAAAATTCCCGCATAACTTTATAAGCTAAACAATATTTCAAATACATTTATTATTTATACATTCATTACATTTATTATGTATTTCTCTGTTCGCAGTATGTAAAGTTTGTTTGCAAGCCATTGGCTCGATAGTGTGGTGTACTGCAAGGATGTTACTATTATTATACTCATGTGGCGATCACTCCATTAATTTAATAATCCTATAACCACAATTAAGCCGCAGATCTGCCCTTAGATGGGGTTTACACACACCCTGCAATGATATAACCTTCCATCGTGTTTATGATACTTTACCATGTTTAACTATTATCGCTGAAATATCCACCATTAGTACAACCTTTGACTATTAATGGTACAACTGAAGCAACTTCTTTGCAACAGTGAAACTTTAGTTGTACACCTGTGATGGTAAATAACCTCGAAAATCCTATTAACACCATTCTACAAATGAACGTGAATAAAACTTTCACCTTCATGTTTAAGGCTCTGTGTTTTTAGTTTATATTAATGTAAGAGGGAGTGTAAAGGAGTGAAATTAGGAGTTTGAGAAGGCTGATCATATTTTGTTTTGGACAGTCAAACACAACTTTCAAACTAATCCACTACTGATTTGAGCGGAGTTGGCCGTGTAGTACCTTCACCGTTTAAGTCGTCTAGGTTAAGCCAGTGGCCAAAGATTAGTGTCGGAAGCTGGCCTCGAACCTGCAACGTCTGCCTCAGCCGAAGCAAGGCACTAAATAAACTTGGCCGAAGACACGCTTAGGCTTTGTTTATAAATTGTGCAAATTTCAATAGAAGTTTCTTCAGAAATATGGACAGCAGCTACTAATCACACATGCATAAACCCCATACGTAAGTTGAAAAATAATTTCTAGTAAAATACGTATCACCCAAGACAGATGAATCTTCTGAGAAGCTTCAATCTCCTATTACGGGGGAGGGAGGGGTACGACAAGGCTAAAGGGGTTGTACTTACCGAGCAATTAAGACAGGAATAATTCAATCGAAAGCTTTCCCCTAAACACCTGTGAGCATGAACTGTGTTAATCATTTCTGATTAGAATCAGGTAAATTCTTCATCACTTGACTAAATAACGGTTTTACAGAATGAGCACTGATTTGAAATTTAAGTAGTAAATTATTTTTGATGGAGTACTTAATTGTGACGGTAAACGTAAGTTTCCAGTTTAGTAGTTGTTGCGTTTTGCTTGGACTAAAATTTGCTTCAGCCACACGGATTTAGATATATAGTTATAGTTAAGTACAATTTGTAGTTGATGAAGATAAACGTAAAACTGATTAGTTTATTTTACTAAATGAGATTCTTTTACATGCACACAGTTGCCTTCATAGTACCGCAATAGGCGCAATAAAAGGTGTACCTTCATGTAGGGACCTCTACAAGTAACTGAAACTTTTGACTATAAACTGAGAACCGCAATTAGAGTCAAACAATTGATAAACAAACAATACATTTACACCATCATACAGATTTAATATTTAAATAGTAAGTACTTAAACGTATACAATATACGTAAATACTATTATTTGTGTTACGATCTACGTATGATATTTGTCGCATACAATACCTAATGTTTAATTCTTGGGCTGATAGAGCTGTGTTTTGTGTTACAATTTTCGTACGATATTTGTCACATACACTAGCGTTATTTCTTGGGTTGATATTCAGCTGTGTTTCGTGTTACGATTTACACATATTTGCAGCATACAATATCTAATGTTTAATTCTTGGGTTGATAGTCAGCTGTGTTTCGTGTTACGATTTACGTATGACGTACGAAAGGCCGGTAGTAGTTTCAGGTTCGAGCCCCTAGCAGTTCCGGTCACAATGGTCAATGTGGTAACTATGACAACGCCTCCCCCCACCCTCCCAACGGTAACTTCAACCCCTTCTTGTTTGTTCTTCAGCATCCTTTTAGCCCTCAAGATCGCTTATCAAGCGTCAAAAGTTTCAGTCACGCTTTGGTGAAAACATTTATACCGATTTCATATAAACTCCCAAGTCGATAAATGAAAGGTTCAGCAGTCTGAGCCTGTGAATACTTTACTTATTCTCCTCCCAGGTGGGAATGCAGTTGTCTCGAATGGTTATCGTGCTTCCCTTGAAAACTGAAGGTCGCTGGTTCGATTCCAAGCGAAATATTTTATAGGCCTAGATGTCTATTGGGTTTTCAGTTAAAGACACGATCTAATACAAGGTCTACGTTTAATACCAACATGAATGAGGTTTCCACCGTCCCCTTACAGACAACTTTTCAAAAACGTTTATAGCGTAGAAACACAAATGGCAATACTTTAAAGTAAATGATCTCCTGGTGCTATTATTTTTAAGATGTAGGTAAACATTAAATATCTGCAGCTATACAATTTGAGGTACAAAACATTAAGGGTTAGCTTCCAAAACTTGTTCGTTAGTAAAATATTGGGTCAATGTTTAGAGCAGGGACTTTGAAAAACTCTTATGTTTCAATATACATTTCGCGCTGGTGTGGTAAGAGTTGCTAAATCACAACAACAAAACTACAAAGACAACTTCTAATCTGATAGTGCCCCAGATATTGCCCCTTTATTGAATTCTTGATAATAATCACTTAGGTATTTGAAAAAAATATTTTGAGAAGTGAGAAATGATTCTTCAGCATATATTTTAAATTAATTTTAAGGTGGCCGCTAGCCTCTAAAGACTATAGAGAAAGTTGTAAGATGGCAATCGAAATACTGACACTGGGTGCATTTCTTTTGAATGACTACCAAATCCTATGAAATTTAGGTATTTCAGGGACTAACAAAACTTTATCGCATTATTACGAAGATGACGTGTTTTAATTTCATATGTTACGTGTGAGTACCAGACTATTGTAATTTAAAATTAAATCTTAAAACGGTTTCAAACATTTGACATTATCTTTGTATAATTATTCATAAATCATCTTTGCATAATTAGGTTTACTCACTCATTATTCAATAAATTGTATTTAGTGAATATTGCTGAGTACACAGTAAAAATGTTTCATATGAAGGGAAGGAGACTTTCCATTCCCAATATTTCTGTCTAATACGCGAATTTATAATCGAGAAAAACTCAAAGAAAAAAGTTTAGTAATCTATAGCATCTTATTTATCACATAAACTATCCCGGTAACAAAATTTATTGTTGGAAATATAGTTTTGACTGTAAAAAACTCTGTGATTAATTAATTTAACTACTGTATGTTCTTTCTGAAAAAAAGGCTACAGCTAGTCCATGTCCACAGGGATGTCTTCTTCGATACCTCAGGATTGCTCCTACTAGTCAGACTTATGTACTCTGGTTAGTTATGTACTATAGTTACTTATCTAGACTTACCTGACAGTGAGAACAGTGGAAGTTGACCGAGTAGCTCTGGCCGCAGTCGTACCTAGACAACACCTCCGAGAACGCGCACTCCAGAGACGCGGCTAGTCTATCAGTGTCTATGAGCGCCTGCACAGCACGCTCACACGTAGCATTGTCACTCCACAGGTCCGCTCCGAGCGATGAGTGGACCGAATGTTCACAACAATGCCTCAACCGTAGTCTCGTCGCCAGCCCCGAGCCCGCACCGGCCCCACACAAAACCGTTTTGTGCGATTCATTCAAATATTCAAGGCACTGAGTTGTATTATCTGAGTTTCGTGATGTCGAAGAGCACGGCGGCGGACAGCGGGGCGGTGGAGGCCCGGGGAATTCGCTGATCATCGTTCTGTCGGCGCAAGGACCCTGTAGGTCGGGAGAGGGCTGGTGTAGATCACAAGACGATAGCCATGGGTTGACCGACGCTAGGGGCGAGTGAGCTGTGGACGACATCAAGAACAGTAGGACCAGCCATCCTGTGCAGGTGTTTCGAGCCAAGGGCATGGTCCGACTCGAGGAGGAGTCGCCGACACTGATTCACAGGTAGCTAGATGACGACTCGACCGGCGCATCTCTGCTGGTACCTGTAACAATAGTGGGTGTCAGTGTCGAGTGATCGAATCAAATCATCTTCAGTAGAGTACGAGTCCCACGTCGCATACAAACGCACTTCTGAACTATTATGGACATTCACGTCCATAACGAGTTTTTTCCGCGGAGAGACCAATATTATTACTAAATGTGTATAGTAGCCTCACAAAGATTTATAAAAATACAGTAGAAATAGAACAGATTTTCAAACCTAACGATAAATTCAAACAGAATTGCCAGTCTCAATTTTCTCGACAACTTAAAACGTCCGTTATACTCGTTCTGTCTGTCTGTTGGCGTTCCACCCTACCGCTCTCCTGAATCACTCGGTGTTATTGTAACAGTAGGTACCTCTGGGTGACGTAGCTCAGGAATACAACACAGAACTGTTTTACAAAACCCAACTTTATTACTACTCAAAACAACACAAAGAACATAAAGCTCAGTAATAATCACAAAGTAAGAGTAGACTGAAACTGTATAAATCATTTGGTTAGAAACTGAAACCCCAATTTGAAAAATAATAAACGCCAATAATTATGATAACCCTTAACATTGTCTTAGCTGGACCTGGACCCAAGGCCAAGGGTCTTGGGCTCCAGCTCCCCCAGCAGGATCTTGTCCTCCAGTACACCAAAATCATATCTACATACAAAACCGACAACCTGATTAAGTTCACTGGCCTACTTAAAGCCACAGCCTTCTGTAGATCAGCACATGTTATTGTTTAACAACCCTTCTAGCCTACTCGCACAACATTACCAAACACTCCCTCTTTACAATATCTGACGCCTTCCTATTACATTATGCTCCTTTTTAAGGGGATTCTGGATTGAAGAACCTAATGCCGTTGTTACAGGTGTCTTTCAAAGAATCTTCTTCTGTGTTTAGGTCTTATTTTTCTTAAGCTACTGAATATTGTAAGTATTGTCGAGAAAATACTGCATTTAATGCCCTAACGGTATTGAGGATGGAAAAAATCTTTTGAAAACTACAAACAAATGAGAATGTGTATGGGCAGCAATGTAAGAACATCGTGTGCCTAAAGACAAACTTACAAGTTAGATTTAGATGGATCTTAACATTATATTTCTACGATGCCAACGCAACCGTGTGCTCATTTTAAGTTGAAGAAGAAAAGAGGAAGTGTGTTTGAATGAATGAGACAACAGCTTTGATGTTAACAAAGATCAGCTGTTTTTCCAAATCCAGAACCACTCATTAAAGGCACAACGATTAATGGACAGATAGGCCTACAGTAGTTTCAAACAACCAAAATTCTTTCATATTTTTTAGGATTGAGATAGGGGCCTTAAGATAACTAATTGTACCGTACCTACTTAGCTACCATGCTAAATTGTAACAGTTGAGTAATATTAGTTTTAAAAGATTCGTAATCGTGCATTTACATAAATATATACACGAGGAAACTTTTGATGGGTCTTTTGAGATGGCAAAAAGTGTCTGAATAAATGCGTTTTTGTGTTTAGTGGAAATTAAAAAAATAACCATGCATAAAATACAGATCCATATGGACCATGTTAAACCGATGGTTCGTGATTATGTTAATTAAATACAGATGAACTAGCTTAATCCACGGTTTCGAGATTATGCTAATCAAATACAGACAAATCAACTCAATCAATGATTCGTAATTACCTGTACCACATACAGACGAATCAGCTCGTGTGATGATTCGTTATTATTATTGATCACATTCATGCGAACCAGCCTAGACAATGATTCAAGAGTATGTAAATTAAATACAGACGAATCAGCACACACTATGATTCATATATGCTAACTAAACACAGACAATCCAACTCAACCCTTAGTTTGTGATTATCTAAATTTAATACAGATGGTCCAGCTCTATTCATAATTCGTACTTATGTCTTTATCAGAAGAGACAGCTCAGTCCATGATTCGTAAATACATTAATCACAAACAGACAAATCAGCATGATCAATCCATGATTCGTGGTCGTATTTATCACATACATACGAAGCAGCATAAACTATTAATGATTTGTGAATGTGTTATTCGAATACAGAAAACACAACTCAAACAATGATTCGTAAGCAAAGAACAATAATACCAAACTTTCGCTATATTGACAACATACAGACGAATTAGCCCAATCAATGATTTGTGAGTCTGTTACATACATCACAAGAATGCAGCAAGATGAGTATTTTATCAATGCAGTATCATAGGTTTCTACCGTTCTTAAACATGTGTTAAAGTCTTACTTCTAAGGCATGGACTATCGATTTCGTTGACCAATTTGTATATTTTTGTATCACTAACACACCATTTCTTATTTATTTAAAGATTGTGTACAAAAAGGGCTTGCTATTGATCTGGTGTTGTAGTATTAGGGTAAGAAAAGTCAGAAAAACGTTGAGTAAGATTGATTGTAACGTTATTGATGATTGGCAGACAACCCTCAACACTTTTTAAGGTCACGTATATTTTATGTGTTTTTATTTTAAGCTTATGTGATTTTTCAGAAATATATCTTATGTGATCAGTTCGTGAGTTTATCAATTACATTTACCCCCAGTAGTCCAAATGCTATTTATTCTAGCCAGGGATAAACAATTTTATTCTTATCATGAATTCCTCGTGACATTTTTTTGAGGTCACCAACAACCTACAAGTTTAAAAGTGGAGATATTTGATTTTAAGTTTTGTATTTCTTAAATGTGTTGGTATTATGATTTAGTTTTAAACGTTCATTAAAGTGTACGTACTTAATTTCGAGTGATGAAACTAAAGTTGTGTGAGTTCCTTAAACACTACTAACACTTTTTAAGTGCATAATCTTGAAAATGTGAAACTGAGAGTTAATACTTTTTAGACGTTAGCAGTCACAATAAAAAATCCATTCATGGTCCTTCTAATTTACAAGTTGTATTGGTAAAAGAATAATATGGGTTAAAGATTGTGTCAACTGAGTTTCATTGGTTACTGTTAGTAGGAAACAACTTTTGCAGCAAATTAATTTAAACTAAAGGGTACATCAGAAAACATGTTGTTTGTTATTTAAATTTAAATACAAACAACGTTTAAAAATGTGGATACAAATAAAAAAAAAATACATACAGTAAAGTCAAATAAATTTTGTAAACTACATGGGTTCAGAGAATATTAAGAAGTTTTAATTCCAATAGATTTATACCTCAAACAATTATTCAATTACACGATTTACAGTTTTTAGTGGAATTTGTAAAGGCTTCATATGCAATGTGATAAAATGACACACAGTATACGAAGCTGGCGAAATAGATGATTGATAACTCAACAAAGCCCTCACCAACGCCTTGTACCAGCCTCAGCAAATCAATGAAACCATGGGTGGTTCGAGCCTGACATAACATGTCAAACATTACGTGTTCTTTAAAATGTATGTTTTAATAAAAAACCGTAATAGTCCATAAAACCAAGTGTTTTTTTGAACCGCTAGGTACTTATTCAATTGCAAATACCTCAGTTTAACCAATCCATGGTGGTGGTTTTCGGCGTCAACCGCGTCGTCAGTTGTATTTCACTGCCAGACGTTTCGCCCTTACTATGAAGTGGCATCCTCAGTGGCTAGGCTGAGACTCTGAAAGGGCGAAACGTCTGGCAGTGAAATACAACTTACGACGCGGTTGACGCCGAAAACCATCACCATGGATTTCAATGACAACGGCCACGAAAGCCTACGCATGAAGACCTCAGTAACCAAGTTTACTCAACTAAAAATGTATAATTTTATCAGTAAAACATGAACCAAATCGAGTTTTGACCACCCGTACAAATTTTGATCCAATATTTAAAAGAACAGTCAATTCAGATTATTAATTCGACATCTAATCGAGAGTTTATTTATATGTTTGTTCTTTAAAAACTACCAAATGATCCATCTGATTGACCTAGGGAAACGATCCTATTGCCTGGGATGGTGGATGTCTAATTCGTATGATAATTATGCGTGTCACTGCATAAAAAATTATTTTTATGTACACGAACTTTGTTCCAAGTTTTGTTGCTCTTTATACATTTTTAAAATATTTATCTGTCCTGGGACTTTTAAAATGTGTATAAATGTTGGAAAAATTTACATTTTTAAGCTGTAACCTTTTATTCAAGATTATGAAGAGGACCATTCTTGTTTACAATTTCTCATAGATTATTTTTGTATACGTATACAAAAATAATCTAACGCTAAGGCTCATAGTGTTTTAGATACTGTATTTCATAAAAACTACAAATCTCCAACTTTATCCCCCAACACCCCCACCATCAAACCTGACACTAAAAATCGTGTAACTCTTTATAGGGATTATATTGAACCGTTTGGAGTCAAAAGTTAGCTTTTCACTTTGGATGTTGAGGTTAGACAGCTTTTTTGCTAAATTGTACCATACTAAATGTTATTTCGACTATCGACTAAGTAGTAGACAGTTTCAATTAGTAATTTTTTTCGGCTTAGCCTCAAAATTGTTATTTGGCATCCTTTGTGTTCAGCAGCTTGCTTGATGGAGCAAGAACAAAGTAATTTATTTGATAAATTATCTTTATATTGTATACTACATTTGATTGTTATAGCGCATGAGTGACGAGTACAACCATAGATAAAACATTTCTACACGATAAGGCCTAAAAATTAAAAGGATTTCCACAGCATTTTCCTGTGATATAATTACTTATATTTTAGTGAGTCAATCTCTTACTAAACCTTCATCTTGTTAATAAATTTTTCAAGTATTTTTAAGACACTTCACGTGTAGGAAATACCTGTAAATATACCAAGTTGGTGTTTTATTTGGTTCACACCATTCTTATCTAACGTGAGAATACAAATAAGAGTGTTGTTGTTTTATGAGCATTTATCGCATTTAATTTAAAATATAAATTCTACAAATAAATATAGGGTTGACCCGTTGACCACTGTTTTTCCCCCCTGAATAACACCCTCACCGAAAAATACAAAACAGTAAAGATG